AAATTTTGGAAAATGGGCGTGGCACCGCCCACTTATGATCACATATATGTATATCGGTAACCGTTATACCACTTTGTACCAAACTCGGTATTTTTTATTATCCTTGCCACATAAAAGCAAAACGTTGAAAATTATTGAAATCGAACTAAAATTACGGCCGCTTTTCATATAACGGTAAATTTCAGAAATGCTTGAAACTGGCATATCTCGAAATTTAAGGACGCTAATTTATTCGAAATTGATACACCCGGTCGTACCATCTAGAGGTAGCTTTCGGAAAGGTGAAAAAACATATATTTAATACTTGCGCCGGGTATTTAATGTTCGGCTCCGCCCGAACCTAGACTTTCTTACTTGTTTCTATATATGTTGCTGCATAACTTTGGACCACGTCAACCGATTTCGATATTTCTTTTGCATCGGAAAGTTAGTGTCCCAGAGGTGGTCCCATACTAATCTGGTTTAGATCTGATCGTTGGATCATGAAATATATATATATATATATATATATATATATATATATATGAGAATATATATTTATATGAGAATTGAAGTCGGTTTTGTTTTTTTGCTTAAAAATTACTTGTTCTATTTAATGTTTATAAATTTTGTATAAAAGTGTCTGGCACATTACGTTACATATCGAGATAGATATAGATAAATGTATACATAAATGTTCAGAATGAATAGAGAAATCGATTAAGCCATGTCTGTCTGTCCGTCCGTCTGTCCGTCTGTCCGTCTGTCCTTGTACACGATAACTCGAGCAAAAATTGAGATATCGCAACGAAATTTGGTATGTAGGTTTCTGTTAATCCAAGGTAGGTTGGTATTGAAAGTGGGCGATATCGGAATGTAACCACGCCCACTTCCCATATAACGGTGATTTCCAGAAATACGAAAACTGCGATATTTTAGTAACTAATAAAGATAATTCACTCAAAATTGATATCTACAATAATTTTCAGACAAAAAATAAGAAAATTATAAATTTTTGGAAAATGGGCGTAGCCACGCCCACTTATGGTTACATGTGTATATCTTAGAGAAATACGAAATCTTCGATAATTCAGTAAATATTAAAGTTAATTTATTCAAAATTTACGCTTGCAACAATTCTTTACCAAAAAATACGTTTATGGTAAAATTTTGAAAAATGGGCGTGGCACCGCCCACTTATTATCACATATATGTATATCGGTAACCGTTCTACCAATTTGTACCAAACTCGGTATGGTTATTGTGCTTGCCACATAAAATCAAAGCGTTGAAAATTATTGAAATCGGACTAAAATTACGGCCGCTTTTCATATAACGGTAAACTACAGAAATGCTTGAAACTTCAATATTTCGAAATTTAAGGAAGCTAATTTACTCAAAATTGATACACCCCGGCTTATAATGTAGCGGTAGCTTTCGGAAAGGTGAAAAACATATATTTATTTAATACTTGCGCCGGGTATTTAATGTTCGGCTCCGCCCGAACTTAGACTTTCTTACTTGTTAATAATATTTTTTTTTGCTGACAGTGATAGGCATTTTCTTCCATATAAAAGAAATTGTCGAGCATACACCGTCAGCCAAAATTATCTTAGCACCTTAGCCAATGTGCTATAAATCTGCATACCTAAAATTTGTATAAAAATTCTGAATAAGAAGTTTAAAATTTTTGAGTGAAATTGTTAAAGTTTGTTGAATTTTGATAATTTCTGTACGAAGTTTTAAATGTGGATTTATGTGGTGCTGGGTTTGTAATGTACCACACTTTTACAAAAAATTATAAAAAATTAAGTAGACAAAAGAAAAGTAGCCAAAACTGGTCAAAATATCACTTAACTTAATCGGCTGACCAAAAGTGTAAATGTACAAGATGTTATTGCCAGCTATTTCGCCGCTGATATCCAATATTCTTCTTGGCAAGGAGAATTTATACAAGGTGGTGTTACTGGCGAATTTAGATTTTCGCTGCAGTACTTCTGAATGTCAAAATAATGTGTTTGTTGTAAGTCAGGCGACTTCATGTTACAACAAAGACATCATTTTGACATTAAGAAGTACCGCGGCGAATATCTAAATTCACCATTAACACCACCTTGTATAAATTCGCCTTGCTTCTTGGTTTTAGAGTGCTACCATGTTGATTAAGTAAGAACACATGTGTAATATCCGTTATTATATAGCGACCACGCCCACAATGACAGTAGTAATACCTACCATAACGCCTACTATGATTCATAATATATAGGAGCACATCAGAACACGATTTTATCTGAGCTTGCATCCCAACATACAATTTAGGCATCTTTCGATGTTGATACGGTAAAAGGAAATTTCTGTTCTGCCCGCTGTGCCTAATTAATTTTCGGTTATTATGTGCATAAAGCAGTGCAGCAAGAAATCATAGAGTTTTAGAACGATTTCTCAAAAAACGAGGGAGATTTGAATATTTAAACTCAAAATAGGCCTACTTAGGTCCAATTGCCCATCTTAGGGTTAAGGAAGCATTTATGATGCTCCAATTTACAGCATGAATACATATACATTAGACTGCATCACCAAAAAAAGTTGCGGTTTTTCCGCCGGGTTCACAAAATTTATTATATTTTAAGAAGTCCACCAAAATATTTCGGAAAAATATTAAGATTTAAGCGAGCTGCACCGATTTGAAAATACCTCCAAAAATGGAGTTTTTTTATTAATAAAAATAGTTTCTTAAAGAACTTTTTGAAAAAAGTCCCCTCAGATGACAAAACAGATTAGGCTTAAAAAATCTGTATAAAAATATTCAAAAATCTTTTCAACGGAATCGTAATAATGAGATTTTTGATGCTGTTTTCAAATTTTTTTCAAAGATTGCTTTACGAAAAACTTAAATAACTGGGCCAGAACTATTCTGATTTAGATTTATGGGATTTCGGTAGAAAGGTATTTTCCCACTATTCTTATTTATGTGCAAAAAAAGTCATTCGTGTCCCAATTTTTATTTTTTTTTTTTCAAATACGAACTCATCTTAATTCAACTTTGAATGATGTTCGTTCATCCTACCTTTCTCTTTCATCCATTGAATGAGTTTATTAGCAAAGAAATAAAAAGGGTGAGAAAATACCTTTCCAATGATACCTCACAAGTCTAAATCTGAAGAGTTTAGGTACAAGTTATTCAAGTTTTTCCTATACCAATCTTTGAAAAAAGTTAAAAAAACAGCATCAAAAATCTCATTATAGCGATTCCGTTCAAAATTTTTTTTTATTTTTATGTAAATTTTTTAAGCTTAACCCATTTTGTCATTTGAAGGGTTTTTTCAAAAAACATCTTTAAGAAACTATTTTTATTCATAAAAAACTCTATTTTTGGAGGTATTTTCAAATCGGTCCAGCTCGCTTAAATCTTGATATTTTTCCGAAATATTTTGGAGGAAGTCTCAAAATATAATAGATTTTATAATTCCAATGGAAAAACAGTACCGATTTTTTTTTTGTATGGGGAGTGATGCAGTCTAATATACATACATATATGTATCTATGTACAAAAAATTTTGTAAAGACAACTCATTTTAATATTTATTTCCATTTTAAATATTCTAGTATACTTGTTTAAGTCACTCGCTCTATGAGCATCAGGCGAATGTAAGACATCATTTTGCTTTTCACGAAGATTCGGAATGGTTTCCGTTCCCCTTCCAACGCGCTGGTATTGTCTTTTCAAGAGCTTTAGTAACGTAAGTATGAATCAAACACTAAAACAACAAGTATTAACAAATACCCTGTAGGGAAAAACTATTCAATCGAATTTTGAGCTCAGTACTAGTCTTTTACCGCCGAAAACGATCCAGTATGATAATAACTAGATCCTCACCTAAATTGATTTTGAATTAACGAAAAGGGGATGCAGCGGGGCAGTGGCGGATACGGAGGGTGGCTATGCCTATATCACGAAATCTTTTAACATAGATCATTTTCATTTCATTTTATTTATTTATTCATAAGTTGTACAAATTAAGACTAAGTCTTTTGCCTGCACATACATTTTTTATTATCAATACATATTTATTTTGTGAATATCTTAAAATCTAATATTATTTTAAGGGTGATTTTTAAGTAAGGGCACCATAAGGATAAGGTTAAGTTATTTTCATTATATAACTTATAGAGTTAGTTAGATTAATCAATAGTGAGAGATGAAATATGAAAATGTTCGAGGAGGCCCAACTTAAAGCAATGAGGCTGTTTTAACATTTTTGTAGCTAGGTAGTGCATTCCACAGCACCACTGCACTAACAAAGAACATGCGGGATGAGACCCTTGACTTGTGTAAAGGGATAATGAGGTTGCAGGTACGAGTAGATACGGCAAATTTTAACTTCGTAAATATATACATCAGAGTACGGGAGTTTACCAACTTGTTCAAAAACAGAAGATTTCGAAAACTAAGGTATGTGGCGAGATCACAGCCCAGAATATTTCTCGAGAAGGAGGATATATGGTCATAGTTTCTTTTTAAATAAACGTATCTAGCCGCATAATTTATGGCGAGCTGTAGCTTTCTCCGGGAGTCAAAATCCATGCTGCCATAAACCACTTCCCCATAGGTAATTAATGGAACAATCAACGTTTTAACAATATTTAATTTTACATCTTGAGACAGATATGCAGCTGAGAACCAAAGTGGTCTAAGAACATTATATATTTTTCCTATAGTCTAGTTTACATGATCAGAGCAATTAAGTCTGCTATTTAGTTTAAATCCCAGGTTTTTGACAACAGTTTCATACTCAATGTTTTCGTTATTTAAAACAATAGGTGTGATGTCACTTAGGTTGTAGCGGAGACTAGAAATCGGTAGTGCCTTCGTTTTAGAAGCATTTAAATACAGCCTGTTTTCCTTCGTCCATTCGTAAATGCGGTTGAGATCATCGTTAATATACTTTATCAGGTCTCTCAGAAGATGAGTCGGTTTAGAAAGGTATATTTGAGTGTCGTCAGCATAAAGATGCATTTTTGTATTTTGACAGCAATGCACAATGTCATTCACAAACAAGCTGAATAATAGAGGCCCGAGAATAGAGCCCTGAGGTACACCTGCGGGTATTCTACTCAAAGAGGAGATCTTTTTACTGCATTGAACTTGCTGAAAACGATCACTCAAATAGCATCGTAAAAATTTTACACTGGTATCACTAAAACCAAAATGATGTTTAAGTTTGAGAAGTAATGGCACTATATAACAACAAACCATTCAATGCTTTACGTTGGCTAATCACATACAACACACAAGAGATAGAAGAGTAATAAAAGTATGATAGGTAAAAGAAGGAATTGCAGTAGCACAGAGAACGCAAGGAAGAGAATAAGAAGTACAAACTCATGATCGCTAGCATAAGATTATATACATATATATGTATATACAATGTAATTATACTTAACTAGAGTGCCAGTTACTGTCGAAATTCGACAGTTTTTCTAGTTTTAGAAGCCTTGGAGAAGTTTTCTAACTTAACACGTAGCCATACTTATACGGTACAAATTAACTATCCGGAAAATCGTCTGCTAAAACGTAACAATTTTTTTTCTTTATCTGAGAAGGTGTTTGGAGGACTTCGGCAGGACTTGGCATTGACCCGATACATTCAAGTTTATCGATAAATTTCGATGATTTGATACATATCGATAGTTCGATAAATTTCAAGAACACTAAAATTCGATAACTCAACAAAATTCGGTAACTCGACCAATTTCGATAACTGTGAAGTTCGATGGCTCGATAAATTTCGATAACTCAAAAATGTAAAAACTTTGGACACCTTTATAAATATTTACTTTTGACATCTCCACATTTTTCGAAAACTATCTAAACATTTTGAAAACTCGCTACACTCTGTTAAGACAATTAAATTCGATAAGAAGTGATAAATCGATAAGCTTATATAACCTTGAAATTTCGATAAATGGATATATTTTGAAAATTCCATAAACTTTGCTTTGTTGAACCAACCAATTTCAGTAGATCAATAATTATCGATAAATCTGAAGTTGAAAGAAGTCCATGCATTACGACACCTCGATATATTTAGTTAAGTCTATAAATAATGATAATTCAATAAATATCGATAACTTGATACATTTCGTTAACTTGACAAATTTCGTTAATCCCACACGTTATAGCTTGATAACTATTCGTAAATTTGGACAGTTGGACAGTGGTAAGTTTCTGTGTCTATAAAATTCGACAACTCAGTAAACATTGATCAGTTTGAATAATTCGATACGTTGCGATAACTTAATAAGCATGGATAAATTTCGATAATTATAAACTTCGATGATTCGATAAATTTCAGTAACCTTTATGGCTGATTTTATTTCGATTCCTATCTTTTAACCTAATTCTTATGTATTTCTCATTGTCTCCATTTTCGCCTTTATCTCAATTTTCGTCTTTATCTTCCCTTTTGCCTTTTTTTGTCTTCATCGTTCTCACTTGTTTCTTCATCTTCATATTTATCTTTATTTCAAAGTTTAATTTCAAATACGAAGTAAAACAAAATGCGAAACAGCTTAAATTGAACAGGTTGCAAAAACAACCATACACAAATATGGAAATTTTTAAACGACGATTTTCAACCAATTTCGAAACTATAAAAACTCTCCTCATCTACAGAAAATTACCTTTTTTTGGTTTTTAAATCGGTAAATTTACCTTGGTCTTTATCTTTGTTTTTATCTTTCACATCTTTGCTTATATCCTTTTCTTTTTCTATTCACGTAGATGAGATGAGGTGCGATGACGTGATAAGATGTGACGTGATTTTATGTGATGTGATAGGATGTCATGTCATGTGTTGTCATATCCTCTGATGTCATGTCATATGATGTCATATCATGTGATGCCACGTCATGTAATGCCATGTCATGTCATACGATGTCATATCATGTGATGTCAAGTCATGTGATGTCATGCCATATAATGTGATGTCATATCATATAATGTCATGTCACGTGATATCGTGTGATGTGATATCATATTATGTGATGTAATATCATGTGATGTCTCTTCATATCATGTGATAAAATGTGATGTGATGTCATGTAATGTGATCACATTCCATGTTCCGATTAGTATATCGATAACCCTGTTGATAACTGTGTCGATAAAAATATCGATAACAATATCCATAAACATATAGAACAATACAACGATTGTAAAATCGATTAATTTCTCGATAAATATAACAATCATCAGTATCGATTATTGTACATATCGTTAACAATATAAATGACTAAATCGATAACAAAATCAATTATTTAATCGATTATTATACCGATAACAATATCCATTATTGTATCGATAACAATATCGATTATTATATTGATTATTATATCNTTGCAGCAACATCTATACACAAATCGGAAATGTTTAAACGACGGTTTAGGCCGTAATTTTCAACCAATTGTGAAACCATAAAAACTCTGCTCATCTACGGAAAAATGCCTTTCCAACGGTGTTCTTGGTTTTGAAATCGCTTCGGTAGAATCGCCAAACGAACGGAGACAAAATTTATGTTAGCGTATTAATATATAGATATATTATTTAGCAGCAGCCACAGTACGCTCTAATGTTTCCATATTGATCACTCGCACAGCTACACTCGTCGGGTCAACTCGGACATACACATTCCATCGTATTGAAAACGCCGCCGCTAACCTCTTTTGCGTTTTCATTAATATTGCAGAGTGCATTAATTCGCGGTTGCCTTTCGTTAAACATTCGTAAACAAATAATTTTCCATCAATATTAGTTGCGTTCCTTATCTCCCAGAAATAGTCAGAAAAAGTCCGAAGTAGTCAGATTTAGTCCAAAAAGCGTTCCTTAACTCGAAAATGACAGCAAAAATGAGAGAGCAACACTCAGTGAGAGTGACTCTCTTCAGTCCGAAGTAGTCAGATTTAGTCAGAAGAATTTTTTTTGGCAAAATCCTGAAAAGTGTCAAACTCAACTGAATTTAAATTAACGGAAATTAAAGAATATACAAAAAGTGAGAACAATCTAAAAAGTAAAAAAAAGTTAATTGAAATTGGAAGGAGGCTAAAAATAATTGATATAGTAAGTGTTTATTGTGCTTGTGCTTGTGTGAATGTGTTTTGTACATACATTTCCATTCTTATTTGACGTTAGTTTTGTTGTTGCCATTCTTTGGTTTGATTTTTGGCGTTCCTTTACTTTTCCTGTTATTCTCTTTTAGTGAGCGCATTTTGCTTACGCTCTGGCATTTTGACACTTTTCAGATTAGTCCAAAAAGATAAGGAATGAACCTATTGTACCCAATATCGCGAAGCATAAGAGACCTTTTGTGCTCTTTGCTGAACTTAGCCAGTGATTTGAACAGCATAGATCGATGCTCAGCCGAGTCAAGTTTAACAATTATAGGAGCATGGATGTTGTCCAATCCTTCTTATTCGTATGGAGTTTTGCTTTGCTTTAAACACGCAAATTCTTGTATTCAAAGATTTGCGAAATACTTGAAGAAAATGGCTACACATAAAAAGTTTTTTCTCTCCTGCAAAATTAAAAAAGGACTTAGCAGCTTTGCACTCTAAGCTAGCGATATGTATTATGCAAGAAAGATTTTCAGAAAAAGCGCTCCGTGTTTTCAGATTGGCTCTTGCACTCTAATAATGCAGAATTTTTAGTTGTCAAAATGTTGATGCTTCTTGAATTTCAATT